GGGGAATCCGAATAAGCAAGGTTTAACCTTTCTTACCACTGTTGAGAATTCTACGCAAATCGAAAGCTTCACCACCTCCATTCATGGACCTTCTTTCCAAAAAGCAAGCAGTAAGCTGTCTTAGTAACCTCTCGAGACGTGATTGCAAGCAACATTTTGCATCTTTCACATTAGGATTTGTTGCCAAGATCATTGCATTAACTGCATCAGCCACAAGCTCCCGTTGAGACTCTCTAAGAAGGTATCCAACAGTGGACTTGTCAGGCTCTTCGTATGCCAGCAAAGAAGAACAATCCTTGCGAGAGAAGTAGGAGATGTTAGAACCCAAAAAAAAAAAAAAAAAACACCAGCACACAAAAAACTAGAAAGGCGATCGAAATCCAATATATATCGGTAAGAGGACCACATTAAGCACCGGGAGGAGAGTAAAAGGAACCTAATATCTAGCAAAATCATATTCTGCCTTGTACCCAGTATATGCTTATGGAGTCATGTAGAGCAAGCTAAGACGGAATTAGCTCGAGCCTTTTCTCTAGATCGATTGTTCATAAAACACTGCCAAACTTTTTGTAGAGTAGTATGATGACTGAATTATAGTCAACAAACAGATCTTCCATATTATACCTTGACTAGGTCACCAAACTCTGAACTCCTCTTGAACTTTCCAAACTCAGTCCTTGCATACCGCACAGCTTCCTCCAGCTTCCCAACCTGCAGTAAGAAGTTAATCAGAGTGGCTGAAGAAAATGCCAGCTTTATGGGGAAAAATTAGCCAAAGGCAAGTAATTGACCAAAAATATAGGAACTGTGTGTTGTATTCCGCATACGGCATACATAATTGGTGAATATATGACCCAATTCAAAATTTCTGACAAACAGATTTGAAACAATAATGGAACGTGGAACAAATACAATACTTGCATAAGGCACGAAAAGATATACATCTCAAATGTCATAGAGAACTGTCACTATTTATAGACCTCTGCCAACCTACCTGGACTAACTTATTAAAATACATCTCTTCCTCCATCGTGTTCAGTATTACTTCAGATTTCCAAATACTTGTGGTTTAGAATTAAATTTCAAACAATTCAATAGAAAAAGCATCCTATATAGTTAAAGGAAAATATTTCACTAATGTTTGAATCAGGAAAATTAGTCAAGTCCAACTCCACGTTCAACAGGAATGACAAGTTATGACTTTACTCTGAAGTGTTAAAGCTTCGTGACAGAGGACCAAGTACTTGCGCTTTTAACATCATAAAGTTGATTACATGTGCAAACGGTACTTCATACGGCCTCTTATCTGTCATCCACCTTTCTCAAACTGGTTCATATTTAACTTTTCTAACAGCAAGAAATAAAAAATTGACGCTTATGGTATTTTCATGATTCAATAAGCTACACAAGGAAAAAAGACATTTACCCTGAGAAGCTCAATAAATTTTTGAGAATGTAGCAGAAAGCAGATAGAAGACTTGTCATCCTGCACATGGCAAACAAATCATCATGTCAAATATAATATTATCAGCTCAACACCAATCTATTTAGAAAGATTCAAGATGTAAGTGGGCATGGAGTTCATCAATATTCCACATCGTGAATATCAGTTACAACTAGAAAAAAGGTCATCTTTATGAGTAAATCCATTGATATACTTGTCACCATTAAAAGCCTACGGACGCATTCAGGCAAATGATTTTCGGCAAATCTTTGAGATATCACAGGACACACAGAATTAATTAGGTAGAGGCAATACACAATTTGATGAGTGCATTCTATAAAATGTATACATGAAAACAGTCAAGATTATCCTAAATTAAAACACAGAGAGAGCGACAGGGGGGGAGAGCGCTTATTGTCATCTACCTGCACAATTTGAGGATACCATTCACCGAGTTTAGCAAATGTTTCATCAATCTCGCCACGACTTATTAGCTGCATGAACAAATAAAGGCAAAAAGGTATTTAATATTTTCAGTAGATATTATTAGTTTAATTAAGTTGCTATCATAATAGCAAGGACCAATAAGCTGGAATAGATAACGCAGATTGTGTTGAGTCAGGAGCCCAAATGTGTCGGTGAGTAAATATGGAAAAGGAAAGTTTTTAAGAGTAAAAGATTAAGAGAACTAAAAATCAAGCTTATCAAGCATCAAGTACTTGCATTGATATAATTGATGGTCAAAATGAATTCATGGGGGGTGAATTCGATGCAACCAAAAAAAGTGTGCCGTTACTCAAAATATTGCTGCAAAGAACGCTGACACCTAATTTAGATATAGATGAAAATTATATCCATCCACCAAATATAAGGCTTGATGATGCCTACTTCACTCTGTAAATTATCCAAATCATTGTGCCATTGATACCCTTGAAAGTGGACACATACAAGTCGATCACATGATACACCCTAAACATAAGGTGATTATAAATCATTACGGAAGGTTAATTATGGGCGTGATTATAGGAGCTAAATTATGGTAGTAAATAAGGTTTCTTTTATACCTATACAAGTGTAACCTCGTAATATTTCATTTCATAGAATAGAATTATGTTTTCCCACAGGTATACAAATAAGAGAGACGAAAAAAGGAATGACTGGTTAGAAATTTCAAATTTAATTGAAATAGGTTGTCTCTGTTGGCAGGATGAGAAAAACCATATAACTAATAACTCAAGAAAACCCAGCTCAGTTATGAAGAAAAATAATAAGATTCAATTCACACCTGACGAAGAGTCCTCCTCTGATTCATTGCATACATGTCTTCCTCGTTGAACCCATTTTCTGGAAGGGAGGAAATTGGAGAAGCAGTACTTTTACTAGCCATATCAAACAATTCAAGCGTTCCTTCATACCCATAATGCTGTAAATAGGAACGAACTAATCTGTAAAGTGCAATGGAGATTATCAACAAAAACATCAGTTGTACTTCTATATTTCTGTAATCAAATAATGTCCAATTATATAATATATAAATGTTAATTTCTCATAATAAGATGTTTGAGCATATATTTATAAAATACCACTACAATGATCATCAGAACCGAAGTGCATGTACGAGGAAAGACTCATAAACTTAGAAACTCATTTCTATAATGTGAATATTATCTATGCTGCATCCAATAAGAAAGGCATTTATCTGTTTTCCAAGAAAAAAACCAGTAGCTTATTTTATACAAAAATAAACTCAGCTGCATTTTTCCTAGAAGATCAGATAAACTAAAGCCCCTAATGAATGTTCTGGTTCTAGAATATTAATTGTGTGTTTTGAACATTTCTCTAATGACGCAATTTGCACAAAAAGCATAAATGTCCATTTATCAGTAAAAATAAATCATGGATTTACATTATGATTAGATCCACAAAAAATACCAAAATATTTTGAAGCAGTTACTTTTTTAATCATAAACCATGTTTATTTTATTGTTTCGAAGTCCATCAGAAGGAAAGGTGAGTAAAAAATCATGAACCCATTTCCTACAATTAAAAACATGATAGCGCCTGGTAGTCACGAATTATTGAGATACTGCAAACAGTTCAGAATTGCAAAGATAACTTAGATACAAGAGAATAAAGGGAGTACTAAACAATTTTTTGTGATGTGTAGAAAAAAAATTCTGTTTCTTACATTATTTAGAGCAATAAGACATAGTGTCATCTAAACTATTTTCCTTGTAGCCTACATTGCCAAATAAATAGGGAAGATATGAAAATTAGCAAACTCTCACAGTGAAGTTAGAGGCCATTAGCACTTAGGCTGCTGTTTGACAAAGGTAGAATATTATTAATAGAAGGGACAGTAAGGACTACTCCAAGCCTCCAATATAATGCCAAGAACTTGTACATTAAATGGAAGCCTCAGCTCATAATATATCAGGCACCTTGAGCCCCCAAATATCAGAATTTTCTTGTTATGAAGCTTAAAAATAGCAATGTGTACTTACCCATGACTAGCAGACAGTGTCAATGAAATACTGTCAATTTCATATTGCTGTTTTGCTCTTTGCTCTGCCTCATATGCCTGAATTATAATAGACATCAGATACAAAAGTTTGAATATCATAATTTATCAGTTTGTTATCAAGTTCCTCAATATTCCAATTTTGTTTAACGTAGATTACTGAAAGGCAAGTTGATGCATGCAAAAGAGCAACAAAATTATATTTACAAACCAAAATTCCTAAAACAGAAATAAATATGTAGCAATTTATTTTGGTGTATTCAGTTCAAATGACAAAATATTCACATCAGCTTAAAGTATGTATTCTAAGTGTTATCAATCTACCAGTTATATTAAGCCCCTGTTTGAGCTCCATTCTTTAAAATTCATCGTCTCCAAACTCATTCTCAATTGCACATTCTCCCAATAAAATAATTTAGCACGTAAACCCACAAACTTTTTCCATTTTTTAATCACACATTCTCCCAAAAATAAATAAATAAATAAAGTTTTAAAAAATCTATTCTCAAAATATGGAGCTCAAACATTGGCTAAGTAAAACTATAAAAGACATAGAAAAATATGAGGGTGTGTTAATGCAACCCATTTAGTCATTTACAATCGAAATTAAGAAAAGAATAAAAAAGGAACAAAATTCCATATTAAGTGAAAATCTTAAAAATGAAATTTTTATTATGCCAAATCTTCACTAGTTATTTGCTTAGTATTCCCAGTTCCAAGGAACTGATTGTTCAAAAATAAGTATATCTAGCATATGAGCTTAATAAAGGCAAGAATTAACAAAAAGTTGCAACAAACTTGTTGTTCAATGGAGAAAGGAATTGGAGACAAAGAAGGAAAATCTTACCTTAATATCAAAAACGAATGGATCCTTTCCAAAGTTGACAGTAACCCTGCCACGTGTCAATGCACAATTTAAGAAGTTAGATACATCTTAATTATTAAATTTTGGGAAAGTATTAGCACTGAAAGGGAATGGAGAAGTAGCATGTTCATGCAGCATGCACTTGTTAGTGCATGAAGCATAGCATATGGAAATCACAAAGTAGAGCCTCAAAGACGTTAAAAATTACCCACAACTTTTTTCTGGTTGTTGCACATTAAGGAAAAATCCAACAATATTTACAGAAAGAACTCAGTAAACTGAGAAGAAGGCTTCAATAACAATTTCTTCAGGACATCTACTATGGAAGCCATTTACATACTTAGGAGAATGATAAACAAGTCAGAGGAAAGAAAAAGATACATGGGGATTGTGATTATCTAGTTAAAATAAATAAATAAATAACGCTAAGAAGGTGTCCATATAAGTGCTGTGCTTGGTGCTAATTAGTCAAGTAGGAAATGAAATTTTATTAGATATATGAATATTATTAAAAGACGCGTACTCACAACTCTGAGATGTGGTGATAATAGTAGAGGTTGCATCAACATTGTCTCAAGTCATAATTTTTACTTCAGTCAAAACAGGCTGAGAAGATATTTCCAAGATGAGATTCTTTTGAATAGATGGACTAGGGGGGTGTTAAAACATTAGAACTTCGGAAGAGTATTGTTGAAATCTGGGGTTTTAGATTAAAAATAACTAAAATGGAGTACATCAAATGCCCTTTCGGTAATAATAGGAACATGTACAGTGGTGTAGTCAAGACAACTTACAAAAGATCATCTTCTAATATGATAGATATTTAAGTTCAACTATTGACAAGGGAGAAAGATTTGAAGAGGATGAAATGCATAGAATCAGAGAAGGCCGACTGAAAGCTTGAATAAAGTGGAGCACTGGTGCAGGGATAATCCCAAATGTAATAAGCAGGTTCAGAAGGAGCAGTATTGCACGGCACGAATAGGAAATCTCAATAAAGTTAAAATGCAAGTTCTACGAACCAGCTGTGTCAGAATATGAATGTTTGGTTGTCAAAGGGAAAAAAGGTCAATAAGATGAAAGTAGTCAGAATGGGAATGTTAAGTTGAATTTATGATTATACTAGAATGCAAAAGATAAATCTCATACACGAGTGTGGGATCCTAATAGACTACGTAACAAGGAGAGGTAGACAAGGATTAACATGACGTGGTGTCAAGGACCGCAGCTTTACTTAGCCCCTTGACACTATCGCAGCCGCAGTTTGCCCAACTTCGGCCGCACATTGTAAATATTACTTTAAGTTTGAGTTGTAATTTTCGTTTCATTGTAATAGTTATTTTAATTGTAAAATAGCTCTGATATTGGTAAAAGATTAGTATGATTCCTCGTCTTTTAAACGTCTACTCCCGTCACTTGGGTTTTTGTTCAGAATGCTATTATAGGGGGTATTAGTCATTCAAAAATCTTTCAAGCTCACTGGTGTCCGTCCCCTGCACCAGCATTTGTAATTTTCTGCTTTCATCAATTGTAATGTTCAGTTTTCAGCAATCAATGTTCAATTTACTTTCAATGTATTCAAATTCTCAATTGCAAGCTTTCTACAAAATTGCAATCAAATTTTCTATTGTCCCGACGCGACCGAGAAAAGGCGAAAGGTAGTCTAGCGGAGCAGACTACTGCCGCACGGTGTCCCTTTCTATGCCAAGAAGAAAGGCACCCCGTGAAAGTTGGTATTAGAGCTGCGGCTTAAGACCCTCGATAAGAAAGCTATGGATCCAATTACATCACACACCACTGAAGTGGTAGAGCCTCAAAAGAAGGGTACTACGAAACAGCGCGTGGATGCGCTTGATGAGACAGCTACTAGGTTGTGCTATGCTGTGGAAGGTCTCGAGAAAAAAGTCGAGATGGCCGAATCTGAGATTCATGGATTACACATCCAATTGGATGAAAGCCAAAGAGCTTGCGCAGCAATGACGGAAGCTGCTGCAATCATTCCTGATCTGCAGGATGAAATGGAAGCGTTGAGAGCTCAATTGCGAGTACTCCAACGTGCGGTGGGCAATGGGCAAGCTCCCGCACACGAGTATGCTCCTAGACTCAGAATTCCTGAACCGTGTACCTATGGAGGGGCACGTGATGCAAAAGAAGTCGAAAACTTCTTGTTTGATATGGAACAGTACTTTCTAGCAGCTTCGATCGAAGATGAAGCTAGAAAGGTAACCACAGCTACCATGTATTTGGGTGGAGATGCAAAATTATGGTGGCGAACCAAATATGCAGACATTCAGGCCCACAGGATTCGAATTGATTCTTGGGATCTCCTCAAGGAAGCGATCAGATCGCAGTTTTTTCCGGAAAATGTTGAGTATCAGGCTCGACGGGCTCTTCGAGACCTGAAACACACGAACTCTATCAGGGAGTATGAGAAATCCTTCTCAGGGCATATGCTGAATATTCGAGATATGTCAGAAAAT